GAGGAAATGTACTTGGTGAGGCTAATGAATAAACCGGGATCATTAGATTGTCTATCATGCATTTCCCCCCACAAACTTGCACTTTACTGCATATAAATCAGGGCAGAACATTTGAAAGGACTTTATATAATGAATGAGGCAATTTTAGGCTGAACTATATAAGGAAAAGCCACCTAAAATACTCAGTTATACTTTAAGCAAGATTATGCATATAAATACATATAGAGAAACAAAATGAAAATCCAAGTGAGGAGTTCAAAAATACCTAAAAACTTGGATTTACTTTGTTAACATCTTTACCTCTTCAAAGATACCTAGCAGAAAAAGTTTGCCAACAACAATACCAGGTACTGGCCAGTAGAAAAAAATAGGATCCCAAACTGCACTAGGTAATTGCAGCAAGATTAGTGTAAACCAAATGCATTTATTATTTGCAGTGTAATCCAATGTACTAAGAGATGGCATGCGCTTTATTTTAATTAGCTGTTTCTTTTAAAGGGTTGCTTGGTCCAACTGTCTTGATAAGAAAAAATTGTAGTCATTGCTCAAAATGCTTGTAGCAAATCTAGTTTTAAATTGAAGCAATTTATTCCAAAAGCAGTCTACTACTGCAGCAATAATCAATGTGTTTTCCCTTTGCCCAAACTGGAGCTTTCCAAAGACTATTGTTAATTGCCTGTAACTAAATGACTGCTGGTGCCCTTAAACGTAACTCTTTGGCACTTGTTCATTTGTTGTGTTTAACCAAATGCCAGTTTCCCTTAGGTTTTGCTGAGCAATTTTGCTTTACAATTTTCAATATTCAGTCTCAATCCCTTAAAGGGGGGCAGAGTCTATCATTTTAACAAAATAACACAGAGGCTAAACAGATTCGTAAAAGGTCTGCACTTTCTCTTTCCATCTTCTGATGTTGAATTGTGCTGAAATGGAATCTTTTTATTTTTTAAATGCTGCCACTCCAGGCAACTTGAACTGGAGCTGAAAAGCAGATCCCATTTCAAAGGGAAAATGACATTTGCTGGGGCAACACCTTTCACATTGCAATGTAAGGATACAATACAGCAGTGGGCCCAAATCATTTCTTTTAACTGTAACAGAATTTAACCCCTAGTAATTTTGTCTTGACCCAATGGATAAGCCATAATGGGTGGCACTCATATTAATGAATGCGTCCAGCTTGGAGCAAAAGAATGTGGAAACTAAATCTAATACACCCTTTTGGCGGGGGGAGAGTTTACACAGGGCATATAAACCAGTGTGAAAAACTTAAATGAAAATTTTTTAACCTCTCCCATTTATACTATGAAGGGCACGTAAGTTACTCTTGCATAAAAACAATGTAGTAACCGAGGAACAGGCACTGGTGTGTGGACCGTGGCGAAAGACCCATTTCTTCTCTGACTTCCGAGGACATTGTAAGAACACCATGCTTCTGAATGTAATACTACAGAAGTATCTGAAGGAAATTTGAGGTACTCTCCGGATCCCAGGACAAATTCGCTCCTTGAAAATGCCGTGTCTTTGGACCTGGTTTTGGTGTCCCTATTATTAGTAAATGACTATCCTCTGGCTCAGAAGGCTTATTCTTGCTTATTGCTCATACTCTAGGTATATATAACTTTCCATATGTTTGTAACTTAAAGTATACATTCATGTGACAGTAGACCATTTCTGTAATTGCTAAGCCCCATCAACCCCGCTGGCTTTTTCTCATTACATTTCAGACAATACTATTGATTGGCCTATGAAATAGTATATTTGAGGTAGTGTATATAATTATTTGACTGGCCCTAGACTTCTAGCAATGGGAATAATTCACATTTCGGCAGTGACTTCTCTAAAAATAGGAAGGACTTACTTTCATATAATTTTTCTCTAATTTTGCATATTCAGTGTTAAAGGTCTTAAAGAAGTGTGTAAAGACCAGTCTCATAAATACCATCCAAAGAAAATGAGAGTTCCGCTTATTAGAGTAATAAGATTCTGTTTCAGGCACAGTTTTGGATTGTTTTGAAAGGTGTTCGACTAGATATGGGGTGAAGCACGCCAGTTGCCCAGGCCTGGTGCCGTGTCTCTAGAATCCACAAGTGCGCTTGGAGCCAACATAGAACCATTCCTGACCTGGGCGGATACCTGCCAAAGTAGCTGTCCTGACTCCAGCTTTCTTTTACAGCTTCTCCCCACCTAAGCCTTGAGTTAGAATTTATAATGACTATTCTTTTTCAAAATATCAAAGTTGTGAAGAATGGAAGTGTGATTAACGTAAGGTGAAGTGCATGGATGGTAGGTGCTCCGTTCATTGCATTCTGACAATTATATGCTGGTATACCCATACCTCAAAAGAGCTACAGAATGTTTCGTCTACCCCAGAAAGTTTCCCGTTGCCCCCTTCCAATACATTTTCCCATCACTTATCCACAAAGCATCCATTTTGTGATTTCTATCACGATGGTTTATTTTGGCCTGCTCTTGTACTTCATTTAGACAGAATTATACAGAAGATACTACTTTGTGTCTGGCTTCCTTCACCTAACATAATTTTGTGAGATTCACTCTTGTTGCATGTGTCCGTAGTTGATTCTTTTTACTGCTGAGTGTATTCTGTCATATGGACGGACAGCAGTCTGTTCAATGTCTCCTGTTAATCACCCTTTGGGTCGTTTTCAGTCACGGCCACCATGAATAAGATTGCTCTGAACACTCTTGAACAAGTCTTCTTGTGGATATCTGCTTATATTTCCGTGGGTGAATACATAGGAGTGCACTTGCTAGTCATAGGGTAGATTCCTAAGCTAACTTTATTAGAAACCACCCCAAATTTTCTAATATAGTGGTACCATTGGGCTTTGCCATCAGCACCGTTTGAGAGTGCAAGTTAAGCGTTCTCCATTATTTTTCCCTGTCTTTTCTCGTGCAAGCATTTTAGAGTGATAAATTGTGTCTAATGCGTTAAAATAGAAAACAGAGTGAATCGGAAAAGAAACCACAGTTCAAATGTTTATCTCTTCCATCGTATCCAGTACAATTTAAATCAGATGATTTTGGTATACAAATTAGCCTGTGGGCATAAGTTAGTTTTCTGCAGGTTTCTGTGTATATGGTGGAGTTAACTCATATACTGAGAGAACCAGGCCCAATGCCCCCCACGGAATTACCTACCCACTTATCCTTTCTGTTCGCACAGGGATGGGACAACATCCTGAGGAGCTTTTTGTATTTCATTCCTGGTACTTTTGTAGTAGTATCTTGTGTAGGTCCTCACAAGATTCAGCATGTAAAGGTGTCTGATATTTATAAGTACAAAATATAAAAATTTCCAGGAGGCTCGTTTTGGCATTTCCCTTTTCATATTCATTTAGACTCTAAAAGATTTAATAACTCGTTTTCTTTTTCTTCCTTAAATTCATAAAGTCCAATCACTTCTAATAAGGTTGTCTTCTATTTTCCATTTAATTTTAATAACAAGAGCATCAGAATACACTTGATTAAACAGCAGTTATATATGTTTTCTGATTAAACTGTTGAATTGAAAATGAAGGACTACATAATGAAAAATATGGCTGAGTTCTGTAATTATCCCAGGAAAAGTCACATCACATGCAAACACACGTGCACACACGTGCACAAACACAAAATGTTCTGGTGAGAAAATGATGTCCGTGTTTTCAAGTTATTTATCCCTGATAGGGCCCTGTACTCCTGATTATTTCACCCCCTTTTTGAGATCTCAGGAGTGATCTTGTAACACAAGAGTAGTTGTTACTCAAGCCATAGATTATTTTAAGGTTTTCACTGTAAGCCTACATTTCCTCTGCTCTGAAATTAGATAACCCATCGATGAATTTTAAAGTAAAGCATCAAAAATACCATTACTTTAGAGCCATCATTTCAGGAATTTTTATATCTAATGGTAGTTAAGGAAACCAGCACTTTTCAACGTAGTCATCGACAATAGTGAACCATGGCTCCCCATCAGTAACGTGTGTACCGTGTTGATCAAGACGGCAGGCATACGTAGGCACGTCAAGTGAACTCCATAGTCTGTGCATTCTGGCTTAATGTTTAAAAGCCGGTACCCTTCATTTTGTTACAATGTGTATGGGCTCTAACGGGGAAGAAAAGAAGTGAATATTCTATCCCCAGAAATGCCTGATAATTGTTAATGTAATATGGATATTCAAGAGGAAAAAGAGAACATGTATGTGGCAAGAGAATCCCTCTTTTGGGTAGAATGTAGCAAACTGCCTAGTAAAAGGGGAAAGAGAAGAAAAGAAAATTCTCTAAATAGCTTAGTGAAAGGAAAATACTACCGACATAGTCTGGTGTGACATCCACGAGGGGGCCGGCTCTTTGAGCCCAAGTATTCAGCCGCCAATACTGTGGCAGGCCACACTGGCACGACTATTCAGGAGGCAGCAGGCAGTGTTCCTCAGGTGGTCCACCCACCCCTCTATGTCACAGTCCACACTGCCCTTCGGGAACTGCGTTGTTGGAACCCTTACGTCCCCTCAGCCCCAACCCCTAGGTGATAGCAGAGGTGAGAAAGGTCAAGATTCACATTGGGTGAGTTCGGGAGCCTTCCTGACTTAAGCGCTTCATATCCACAGGAACCGATATTTCTTTGATCAACCCCACAAGCATAATTTGTGGGATTCCCCCAAGGGATATGCTTATATGTGTTACTGTACTCAGGCAAGCCCAAGATTATCGTTTCCAAAGCGGTATTTCTAATTTGTTTCCGTCCAATGCCGTCTCCCATTTTTACCATAAACGATGTCGCTTAGCAACACAGTTACCACAGACCACCTTATCTGGTTACCAAGGAAACAGACCTAGAAAGGTCCCATTTTCATGCAGAAGGGGAAGGGGTTGTGTTAATCCATCACCTACATCTGGTCTCATCCACAGAACTGTGAAATCAACTTGAATTTGTGGCTTGGAATGTGAACATGGTATAATTCCCTTTGGTGATTTGTTGTTGTTGTTGTTGTTGTCCCCAGAGTTGATGTACACAGTTGAACTTGCTGGAGGGCTTGGTGCTATCCTTTTGCTGCTTGTTTGTCTGGTGACCATCTACAAGTGTTACAAGATAGAAATCATGCTCTTCTACAGGAATCATTTTGGGGCCGAGGAGCTGGACGGAGGTAAGATGAGTTCCCTCTTTTGATGTTCTCTCCAGATGTGCTTCTTTGTTTCCTGCCTTTGTTTTATTGAGAGGCAAGAAAAGTTACCGCAAAGCCCCTGGCAGCAGTTCTTCTCATCTTTCACTCTTCAGTTTGTAAATTCATCTTTCACGTGGAACTCTACGTGTGATGCTTTGGAGCCAATAGGCAATTTCCTCTGCAAATGGTAAAGCAACACCTACCCTTTTTAGAATCCTATTCCAAATAGCACTTGCAAATTACAGACGCTGATTGCCACGCTATCCGTGTTCATCTTCTCTCACCTTGTAATCAGCACTGAAAGGCCAGCTTTGCTTTTCTACAGGCAAGTAGTGCCTCTTTTAATTGTGTTCCCTAGCCCAGTGGTTTGAACGGAATCTCAATTTGTTCCTTATTTAGACTGACCAGTTGTAATAAACTGTGTTGAATAGTTTAGAATGCATAGCAGTCTTTCCAGTCCTGTTTATGTAGCTATATTTAGACAGACTGATTTTTCTCCCAAGTGTGGACCAACAGATAATAATGTGTGCAAGCACATTGTTTTCTACCAGTTTTACTCAAATTGGACAAGTAAATGTTGTTTACATAGAAATCGTAATTATTATTTACCCCTTCTGGTCAGTCGTGAATTCCGTGTGCCCTCTAAGAGGAATTTGGGGTCCTTCACATGGAGGTCCATAAACCACCCATTAGAGGACTGAAGATTTTTTTCGTTTTTGTCACTTGAAAATAATTCACACATGAGGTAAATTTGCAGTAGAGGAAGCATATGCAAACTGCCATACACAGTGCAGATGGCCACGGTTTCTTGCTCATATTTATCGACTTTTTTTCACTGTCAATTTTGCCCCAAGTGGCACAAAGGAAAATGAAGGGACCTTTCCAGAATCCTCTAGAATAAATCCACAGGTAGAATTGTGGATTGTCAGACTTGGGAAGAGGAAGTTTGTTCAGTCTCTATTTTACCTTCTTCCCTCCCCATGGGGTGAAGTCTGTGCCGCAGCACGACTGGGTTTTTTAAATTCGTAACTGTTGATTTGCCTCTTGGTTTCTGCCTTTCTCGCCTTCGTATGCAAGTTATTAAATCTTTTGGCTACTACTTCAAAGGGATATGAGAAAATTGTCAGTGTCAGAGCTGTTGTTGAATGAGTATCAAGCAAAGTGCTAGGCGTTCTTAAGTCATTCTTGCTAAGACTCAAAAACCTCTGAGGTCAGTATTGTAATCTCCATGTTGCTGAAAAGGCAACTAAGGTTCCCAGGGGTTAAATAACATACTGATGAAGATAACACAAGTATTGCTATAAGTGGCCAAGATGGGATTTGAAAATAGGTCGATACCCAAAGCCTTTCTTTTCTTGAACAGTGAGTCCCTAATATTTTTTGCCTTTTAAAAATGTAGTATGTTCTGGGTGCCTGGGTGGTGCAGTGGGTTAAGTGTCCAACACTTGATCTTGACTCCGGTCATGATCTCACGGTTCGTGAGTTCGAGCCATGCATTGGACTCCGCTACGTTGGTGCACAGCCTGCTTGGGATTCTGTCTCTCCTTCTCTGTGCCCCTCCCCTGCTTGTGTGCGCTCCTTCTCTCTCTTTCTCTCAAAAAATGAGTAAACATTATGGGGCACCTGGGTGGCTCAGTCGGTTGAGTGTCCGACTTTGGCTCAGGTCATGATCTCACAGCTAGTGAATTCGAGCCCCGCGTGGGGCTCTGTGCTGACAGCTTGGAGCCTGGAGCCTGCTTCAGATTCTGTGCCTCCTTCTCTCTGCTTCAACCCACTGGCATTCTGTCTTTGTCTCTCTCCAAAATAAATAAACATCAAAAACAATTTTTTTAAATGAATAAACATTAAAAAAATAAAAATTTAGTATGTTCAGTGTAACCTAAAGATCTGATGTTGTTTGTACAGTCAGCATAGTAGATATTTGAAAAAGCAGATGATCTGAATGTTTTACTTAATCATTAACCCTGTTTTAAATATGTTTAGTTTCTGTTCGGAATGAGATGAAGGATTTCCCCCAAGCTGTAAATTTCCAATGCAGTTTCTATTTGTCATGTTCTGAATGGTCAAAGATTCTGGATAGTTTAGATGCCTCGAAACCTTAGTCACATCCCCTTAGATCTTTCTTTTTTTAATGTTTATTTATTTATTTTGAGAAAGACCGAGAGCACGAGTAAGGGAGAGGCAGAGACAGAGAGAGTATCTCAAGCAGGCTGTGCACTGTCAGCACAGAGTCCCACATGGGGCTCGATCCCACAAACCATGGGATCATGACCTGAGCCGAAATCAAGACTTGGACGCTTAACCGAATGAGCCGCTCAGGCACCCTCCCTTAGATCTTTCTACACACACTCCTCCCTTGGTGGAAAATTTCTCTAACATCATCAAGTGCCCATTCTTCATAGCTCTCCTACAGTCCTTTCTTCTTCCGAAGAAAAGATAACTGTTAAGAAGAGACCCCAGGCTTTTCATATTCTTGACTTGGCTTAAAAAAATGTATTTCAAAAGTCTAAAGTTTAGTGATGCCTTCTTTATCCTTGGACACCACATTACCTCCCTTAAAAGGGGAATACATAAAATACTCTTGGATGTAAGGAAAAGCAGGGAGTATGAAGAAGAAGAGGGCAAGTTTAGATGGCTTACTCTGGTGATACGATAATGATAAATTTGTTGACCATTTGTTGAATATTTGTTAAATAGCAAGTGCTGTGTTGGCTGCTTTGTTGGTACTCAGAAAATCACACAATTAGAAAGACAGAATTTTTAATTTTTATTTTTTAATTTTTAAAAATGTTTATTTATTTTGGGGTGGAGGGACAGAGAGAGAGGGGGAGAGAATTCCAGGCGGGCTCCATGCTGTCAGTGCAGAGCCTCACGTGGGGCTCCATCACGTGAACCATGAGATTACCTGTGCCAAAATCAAGAGTCAGACGCTTAACCAACTGAGCCACCCAGGTGCTCCTGAATTTTTTTTAAGATTTTATTTTTAAGTAATCTCTACACCCAATGTGGGGCTCGAACTCAAACCCAAGAGATCAAGAGTCGCATGCTCTACTGAGTGAGCCAGCCAGGCACCCCCAGAAAGACAGAATTTAAGCCCAGGTCCAAATAACTCCAAATTCGAATTATTTCAGCCACTGTGTCAGACTGGGAAAGGAAGTATTTGGTGTCAGGAACACATCCATGCAGTTCCTTTCAGGTCATTACAATAGGTATTACTTGACTCTATCATTTCTGTATCAGAATGATTCTATTTTTCCAGGATAGAATATATTTATGTGGGGCACCTGGGTGGCTCAGTCGGTTGAGCATCCAACTTTGGCTCAGGTCATGATCTCATGGTTCGTGAGATCGAGCCCCGGGACAGGCTTTGTGCTGACAGCTCGGAGCCTGGAGCCAGCTTTGGATTCTGTGTCTCCCTCTCTCTCTGCCCCTCCCCAACTCACGCTCTGTCTCTCTGTCTCTCTGAAAAATAAATAAAATATTCGAGATGCTTTTCCCTCGAGTTGTTCACCTCACTCTTGTCCCCCTCTGCGTAACTTTACATTTTATTTTTTCCTCTGGATTCAGCTCTTAGCACTTCTCATTATACAATACCCACTTTTATGGATCGTCTTTACAGCCCTATCTTCAATTGCACTTATGCACTAATAGCCTCTAAATGTCCTTCTCCCCGTTCTCTTGTTTCATCATCAGTTAATTGTACCATTGTACCTCTTGAAAATAGACTGATTCCTTACTCTTAATTGTAGCTCCTTGTCCAAGCCTCCTACACTAGCTTCTTGGTCTTAATTCTCTACCCTTCCATTTTATCCTCCACACTCAGCCAGACTTCTCTTTTTAAGTACAAATTTACTGTGATTCTTTGCGAACCAAACCAAAAGAAAAAACAAACAAATGTACCTGTATGGTGCCTGCCAGAGCAAGTCTAGGCTTTTTAGCTCAGAAAACAACTGTATGAGCACAGGGTGACCCAGATTATATTTGTAGGGTCACCCCCTCTGTGGAGTCTGACCTTGCACAGTTTCAGCTAGAATGAGATGCTGGTCTTTGGAAAAACAAAACTGTTGAGAACTGACCCAAGACTATGCAGTAATGCATAATTCTAAGATCTTTTCAGATAAATGAGGTATCTACAATGGTTAGGGGTAGAAGGGCAACTACTCTCCCACTGACTTGATTCCATTCCATAATGAAAGAAACTTTAGATAAATTCTGTTGCATATTCATTTATTAACAAACAAATATGTAAGCCATCCTGTAAACTCGAAGACGTTTCAACTGGCTGTCATGTGTGTCTGAGTGTGTGTGTGTATTCCAAAAGACCTTACAAGAAAGTTTTCCCCGAGGCAAATATGACAATATATCAGTGGCAGGATTAACGTTAAAAAAAGAAATTATGTAAGTTTAAGGTATACAATGTGATATATATTGTGTGTGTGTGTGTGTGTGTGTGTGTGTAGAGAGAGAGAGAGAGAGAGAGAGAGAGAGATGTATACTTTGTGAAATGATTACTACAGTAAGGTTAGTTAACTCACCTATCACTTCATATAACTGCTGTTTTTTGTAGTGACATTTAAGGCCTAATCTCTCGGCAACTTTCGAGTATATAAAATATAGTATTGTTAACCATATTCACCATTCTGTATATTGTATCCCCAGAATTACTTATAGCTGGAAATATATACCCCTTGACCAACATCACCCCCTTCCTCCTAGCCCCCAACCCTTGGCAACCACCATTCTGTTCTGTTTCTGATTTCAGCTGTTTTCATTCCACATATAAGTGAGACCATACAGTATTTGTCTTTCTTTGACTCATTTCAGTTAGCACCATGCCTTCAAAGTCTAAGTTGTTGCAAATGGCAAGATTTCCTTCATTTTTACGGCTGAGTAGTATTCCATTGTATATATTGACCACATTTTCTTTATCCATTCATACATTGAGGAGCCCTCGTGTTGTTTTCATGTCTTAGCTATTGTGA